GGTTTGCGAACGAGCTTTCTTGACAGCCCTAGCTGGTTAACATTTATGATGACGCATCATTTATATTAACAAATAAGCCAAGTTTTAGACAAATTACTCGTACCTAAACTTAATTAGATGTTTTTAATAGTTAATCAACAATAAAAAAGTAACGTTGAAGTTAAATTTGTTAATGTTAAAATATATAAATAAAAATTCCATTTTAAACCATACTAATCTTGTTTCTTTGTTGTGAAATATCAATTCCATCTAATACAGAATAAATAAAAACACGTTCATGTCATAATTTGGAATTGAACGGCTGTGATGCATCCGGAAGTCCTTCCAAAAACCACAAAACCGGCAATAAATGAGCCACCCTGTAACCGCAGCACAACATTTAATGCTCGTCAGATATTTTACCATCAATCCGCAGCGCCTCCCTCCTCCCCAAACCCTAAACCCGTACGAGATTCACCACTCTTCATCCAAAACCACAAGCAACAACAGAGATACAATTCAGAAAATATAATAATAACACTCGATCCACACACCAAGGAAAAAGTTCTCAGGAGTAATAAATGAAAGATTAGTACTTTTTTGCCTTCTAGCAGAGGAAAATGGTAAAACAGGAAGAAAGAATAGGTGAAGTCAATACCCGAACCACCACCATTGCTACGTGCTCCGGATTACAAATACACCCGCCGGCGAAGCCATGTTAGTTTCGGCCTCCTCCCCACATAACAAAGGTTTCTTCTTTCCACCGCGCGGTTCGTTCTTGACTCAACCCGCCCTCCCCCTTTCTCCCCCGGTTCAGTTCTCGCAATGCAGAGCTGCTTTGATCTTCTGCACGGTACAAGATATCAAATTGTTCACCGTCTCCACCGACTCCACCGTCAGCTTCGCCATCGGCAGACTATTCACCAGTATCTGAAAAGCCACCGTAAGCAAAGAACCGCCGCCGCCCATCTTCCCCTCTCCATCTTCCGCCACCTGTCCATCCGGCATCACCGCAAATCCGGACGGCAGCAACGCCACATACGCCGAATCCCCGCCGTTCATAACCACGTGCATCGCCGGCACATCCACCGGCGCGTACACCACCATCGAACCCGACTCGTCCGTACACGTCTCCTGTAAAATTAACATGCTGCTCTGGTTCGCGCTCACCGCCTGCGCAAATCAGCCAAAAAATTTACACCTTTCTGGAGTTCTGAGAATCAAAAAGAAAACTTTATATATATTTATTTATGTGCTTACACTGACACGGAGCAAGGAAACGGCGTTGCCTTGATCCTGGCCTTTTGCAATGTGAGCCATCTCCTGCATGGGACCGCCGTTTGAAAGAATGTCCCACTGGCTACGGAGGCTTTCGTTGCGCAGGAAGTCGAAGAGGCGGTTAGGGGAGACCGGCAGCCAAACAGACGTCGCGGCGGACAATACAACGCCGGGGGGTTCGCCGGGATCTTCCATGCTCTGTCTCGTCATCACCCTGACATCCTCACCGATGCTACTACCCATGTTCGCTAGTCGGCTCCACTTGCGCGCCGAGGAAGCGCAAACCCCCGCGCAGAAGTTGTCCGTCATCCGCTGCGCTAGTTTCAGCATGCTCCGTCTGCCCGCTGCCATTATTGCTGCATCTTATGACTGTTAAAAACAGCAAAACAGAGAAGAAGAATCGATGTCTATATATGTATAGTACCAGTGTGATCACTGTTGGTGACGGAGGAGGACATGAGGATGGCGAGGCACTCGCACTGGCGCTGCAGAGTGGCAACCCAACGCTGAGCTCCGAGGGCCAAGCCGGAGCGGAGCAACGGCCGGTAAAGTTGGTGCGCCGCAGATTCCTCGTACGCAGCGTGCTCAACCCACGTAACCTGAATAAAGAACGAGAGATGATGAGCATGGTGGAACACGGTAAGCATTACGTGGATACGGTGCCACAATCTACCGACGCAAAACGACAAATCGTGGCACATGGATCACAGGTTGAAGAAATCAAGATCCGGCCAAGCTTTGACTATTGGCAAGGCAACGGGATGGGCGCTTTCGAGATGCGAGATTTGGAAAGTAAACATCTCTTTCTGCACTGTGGGGGGATGTGGAAAAGCTGGAAAAGCTGGAAAAGCTGGAAAAGGTTAATGGGGAAATATTAAGTAATTAATAGTTTTACGAGAGGAATCAAATCAAGTACCATTGAAGAATGGAATAGAAGCCAGAAAAGCTTCTTCAATTAGGAGATGCAAATTATTATAATGACCATATGGAGGAGCTCGGGAAGTGGGAAAGAGGAAAACTAATTAACAATAAAATTAGAAAGACGAGGCCTCGGTTAATTAAGAATGCAGACAACAGAGAGCAACCGGGTGGTAATTGGTAAATGTCAAATTTTTTTAAGGAAAAGAAAAATCTTTAATAATGCAAACTTATCTATATATATAATTACCTTGGAGTAACCATTGGGCATGTCTTGCACGACGCAGCCAGAAGGCAACCTGCGGCATTTAGCGCTAGCAGCAGAAGCAGAAGTGTGATTATCTCGAATTGCATCAACAGAGACATCAACGACACCCCAAGCAGCATCAGCAAGTTGCTTACAGAATCTGAGAAAGTTCACTTCTCGGATTGGAACGAGAGGGGAGAGAACCTGTAGCTCAGCATGCATCTACAGATTTATGAAGTAGTTAGCCTACAGTTAAATATTAGTATTTTGATTTGGTATATACATGCATGGAGGTTGATTCATGAGGAGATCACAGGAAAAAGACTCACAAGTTGAAGAGCTCCGTTCCTGGAACCGCCTACTCCAGGAGAAATTATATCAGTTGTGGCTGTTCGAGCAATTATTCCGGGGAACATATCTGCCCAACGCGCCTAACACAGAATTTGTAGGAAAATAGAATCTATAAAATATAATTATTTAACTAACGTAGCATATAGAGAATCTATGACACATATATTTTGTTTAAGAATATATATATTTGATAGCAACTGTATGAATGAATAACAATTGGAAGTAACAAGTTCTATCCATATAAATGAGAAGAACTATATATATATTTCTAGTTAAATCTATCTCATTATGAAGACATTTATTTTTTAAGAAGTTCAATAAACCCACATTATTGTATTGCATTGATAATATTATTTTATTGGGACATTAAAGTACATATCACTCAATTTTATGTATTTACATATTTAACACTATATATATATATATAATTTAGATGTTAGATATGGAAATACATAAGCATTAAGTGGAATCAAAATGAGGAATGAGGAATGAGAAATGAAATCATCACTCCACAATGACATTATACTACTGAACATGAACATAGTTTTTTATCATGTAAGAAAAAATATTCATAATCTTATTGATTATTATCTTATAAATAAAAATTAAGTTATAATTTAAAATATATACATTTAAAAAAAAAACAAAGAAACTACTTCTAACTTCAAGTATTTTTACTCCTGCAAAAAACAATTTCGTTATTTTCATAAGGAAACTCCTAAAATAATTAAATTAAAAAAATATTAAACAAAAAATGCAAAACACATACCGCATCCATGAGAGTCTCAACAAGCGCAATACTGTTAATGATGACCATGGCAGTCTCCCTCGTCGCCTCCGAAACAAAACCAACCTCCTTCACACTAATGCCGCTAGGGAACATCTCCTCATACTGCTTAAAATTCAAGGTCTCTCTACCATTTCCTTGACCAGCAACAATCCAAAGCGGCTCCCCCATTTCCGCCATCTTCAAAAGCTCATCCATGGCAGACAAAGCCAAGTCTAGGAAAACAGATCTCTCCAGCGATCTATCAACAGGAGGAATCGATGCCCTCACCGGAGGGGTGATTACAGTCCCCAACGGGCTCGAAGCCGCCGCAACAAAATCAGTCACCGATGAAAACGTGTGCGGAGCCGGTCCGAAAGCCCCAAAGGCATTGCCACCAACAGCAAGCTCAAGAGATGAGTTTGGCATGGTTGAGATTGAACTAGCTAGAGAAGATATAGGCCGTCCGATGAATTTCCCAGCGAGGGTGCAGACTCTATCAAGCTCATCTTTTAGCCTCGCGTTCTCAATTCTCAGGTGCTGTTCCTCGAGGGATACTTCGCCTAAGACCGCTGGACCTCCACAGTTGCTGCAGACAGGATTCCTCATTGCATCTCTAATGGTTATGCTTTCTGCTCTCAGCTTATCGTTTTCCTGCCTTAAGATGGTGTTCTCATGGCGCTCCATTTGAGTCTCCAGTTTTTAACGAGTTTTGTGCAAAAAAATTCAGAAACACAATAACATTATACAAAAAAAAAATTAGATCTTTATAATTTTTTAGGGACTACCTTCATTTGCGTTCGACGATTCTGGAACCAGAATTTGACCTGGCGGGTCTCCAGACCAAGCCGCTTGCTAAGTTCCAATCTTTGCTTCTCATCTGGATGAGGGCACTCCTTGAAGAGACTGCAAAACACAAATTAGTTCATCCGCTGAGGAAAAAAAAATGGAAATTTTTCACAAGCCAAAAAGGACAAATCTTACGCTTCGAGCTCTTGAATTTGTTTAGGAGTATGGCGATGGTAGCGCTTCTTCTTGCGAGGGTTCTCATCCAAATCGTCGCCGGAGCCTCCTTCAAAGTTATCACTTCCGGACCTACTCTCGTTCTCGTCTTCCTTGTTACGACAGATACCGTCAAGCTCACCCACACCTCCGCCCCCGCCAATGGAAGCGAGCCGGTTGTAGTCCCCCTGATTCTCCAGATTAGATTGCTTCGATGGAAACCCAAAACGAGAGAATTTAGTAAAAGGGATTAATAAAAAAAAACAAGCTTCAGAATTAAAGGTAATTAAAAAATAAATAAATAACGGCGAAAGTAATTGCTCACAAGGCCGAGAGAGAGGCCCGAGGGACTAAACATGGACTTTCGATCACCGGAGTTCATGACGAGGCGGGGCTGGGAAATTGAGCCGGCCGGCATGGCTGAGCTTCCATATGGCAAATCGGACACCAGCCTGCCACCACCTGATTCCCCGTCGAACAAGCCACCAAAACTCATGTTTAGCCTTCTTCCCTCAACAAAATCTTACCTTTTTTGGCGGCCCTTCCGCTATTCCTCAGATCTATGAAGCTTTTCAGCTCACTTAAGAAACTCCACTCAATTGAAAAAAAAAAAAAAAGGCAGAAAAGAGAAAGGTGATATTTTAAAAAGAAGATGAACTTAAGGAAACGAAGGAATGTTCTGAAACTAAGAATCCGAAAATGGAGGGACGAGATAAGGTAAAAGCATTAAGAACTATATCACGAAACAATGCCCACAACTCCCTCTCTCACACTGTATACAGGGCAGAAAAAAAGAGAAAGAAGCCGAGCAGAACGCTAGTGCCTCCGTCTCTCTCCCTCTCCCTCTTCCCCTGCTACCTCTTCAGTCCCCTTTTTTACAACCAGTCTAAGATAAAGAGAAAATAGGGCACTAGCAAATTGAAACGAGAAATGAGAAGTAAAACAAGAAACCAGAAATGCAAAACACAAATGGTGATGTTCCCCCACCCGCAAAGAGAAAGAGAAGCAAAACAAGAGCGCATGTGGTGACTAAAGGGCGAGGAGCGGCGTTAACCAGCAGCTAAGGGCGAGAGGTGGCCCGGTTGACCCTCCTCTACTTAGTTTTTTTTTTTTTTCTGTCGATTTAATAAGAAAAAGGCCAAACTTTTTTTATAAATCCCCACCAACGCTTCTATTACCGCACTACTTTCTTTTCCCTTTTGTTTTATTTCCAATTCAGTTTTCTATTGCTCAATAAAAAGAGGAAGAGGACAGGGAGATAAAAGAGGGACATTTGGAAAATAATCTAAAAAAAAAAGTCAAAGTAAGTGGTGGAGAAAGCTGACTTCCGATGACTCGAGAACCAGTTTTAGAACCAGTTTTCTCTAAGGAGATCAAAATTGACGCATTTCTTAATTCTAGAGAAAATATTGTATGTACAATTAATTATCAGACGTATCGATATACATGTTAACATGGTGCCTAGCTCGATCGAGCCTTCGCTCCTGACGTAATATTTTCTCATAAATTTGTGAAACTTTTGGTTTTTGGTTCAACTAGGCTATATATCGAATTTTAAAAATAGATTCATGCTCTACTTATTTGTCTAACGAGCACACATCCATAAGATATTTATGAATAGAAGCAAGGTTTAAATCTTATAATTTATATTAACATATTCATTAAATAGAATTTAATATATAATTATTCAGTTTTTTAATTAATAATTTAAATTGATAATAAATATTATAGCCTTGTAGCCAATTATTCAATTAAATAATTAAAAAATAATACTCAACAATTTTAGTCATAATTTAGTTATTTCAAGTCAAAACAAACCGAGCACAAACAAACCAAATTTTATTTGCGATCTGCATTTTGTTTATGTTCGGCTCATTTACTTAGCAAATTAATCGAAAACACTTGCTATATTTAATTAGTCGAACATAAACTATTTAACGACTTGATGCAAATAATGAACTATTTGACGGGCGAAATGATAACAAAAAAAGCAGTTATTTTTTTAAACCAGGTCCGGCCAACGGTTGCCGCTGTAGAGCCACTGATCTCCGGCGACCTTACCTTCTAATTGAAAAAGAAAGCAAAAACCCGCAAGAACGGTTAGCAATTTCTCGGACTTGCAGAAATAAAAAACTAAGCGGCAGTGAGCTAAACTACGCTTAACAGCCAGCAAAATTACGTATTGACAACTGAAGGGGATACAGAATATGTTCGACGATCTCTAACTGTTTGATCGAGATTGGACGGCTCATGCAGTTTGGTTCAATTAGGCGGACGGCAGTGGCCAATTTGGGAAAGGGGGTAGCTTTGTAATTAAATCTCGGGACCGGGTAGCTTTTATGACGTAATAAATAGGAAGGAGCTAATGGCGCGGGCAGAGGCTGGGCCGCGTCACATTTGGTACCAACGGGCGTGATGAGGCGGTGCATGTGCCATCAATTAACGAGGGCTCGCCTGCTCGCCTTCGTATTCATTGCTCCGGAGCTTCATCTCGCCGCCGGGAGCGCGGCTTGTCTTGGCCTTCTGGGCAGTTGACGTGTGGAGTCAATTCATCTCGGCTCAAAATCACTCAAACATTTTAAAAAAATATTGCGTCCTGATTACGGTCCGAGCTCGACGAAACCAAAAAGGAGCAGAGCGGATGAAAATTAAAATTTCGGTGTATCGCGTCTGTTGTCCAAGCGCAGCTTACGCGTTATTTAACCATGATATCTAATTTTAAGCAGGACAAGAAATAAATGTAAAGTGACTTGGAAAAAGATTTGTGTGCTATCCTAGTTAGATCAAATTGGTTTTACAATAATTTTTTTTTTAATAAATATAAAAAATAATAGATAAATTAATGTTAATATTTTATGTTACAGCAAATTTGATTGTTATAGTCTATATTGATCAAATTATGTTTGAATATTTTAATTCAATATATTTTCATGATTATGTTATTTAGATTTAAGTTGATATGACTCATTAATTATAATTAGAAGCTTAAATTAGTTAACTTTAGGATGTCAGAATAGGCTCACGAAGCCAAAGCAGTAGAGGTGGGAGCCAAAGGATCATAGAATTGGACGGATCCATGCATCTACTTTTTACAATAAGAGAAGTCTCTGAGTAAATGACTTATCCAAGATGTTTCAGGCATGCTAGTTGATAAACTTTTCCAAAGGCTTGCCATTTCTTATATTTAAGGTGCGTGCAGGAAAGTGAAGTTGAGGAATCCTCAATGAAATGGACTAGCAAATGTGGAAGCCCACCGAATGTTGGCCCACCGATGGCAGTGGCAAGGATACTTCTAGGTAAACTTTATAATAGATGATGAACGAATAGTAAAAAATCTGCACAAATGCACCCGAGTTTTCTCACTAGTTAGAACAAACTTTCAATCCATGGGCATTCATTATTTGGAGACTTGATATCCTTGGACATTTTCTCCCCTTCTAGATGATAGCAAAGATACATATATTGGCTATTGTTGATTATTTCTAAAAGTTGATCGTGGACAAAGCGCATTCTCGGATTATTGTTGATGTTGTTCGCAACTTCATACGTTTTTAAATTTTCATTGATTTCATCACAGAGAATAGTATCCAATTTTCTAATCAAAGAGTAAAGGACTTATGTTAAAACTAAAGAATCTGTTTGAAGTTTACCTCTATGTATCACCCGCAATTGAATTGGCAAGCTGAGGCTACTAATAAGATCATAATCAACTTACTCAAAAAATAATTAAGGACGTGAAAAACTAATGGACCGACCTTTTATCCATCTTTTGTGTGATTTTTACGATACCCTCAACAATAATTAGATAAACACCTTCCATGCAGTCACATAGTGATGAGGCCATATTACACGTACAATAAAATCTTCAGGGTCAATGAGTGGTCACATCTTTCACATTTAATGATGTGACTTAGACAACTGGTAGAACATCAACAAGGATGGCATGGAACTCATACTCTTTGTGATATAATAAGAACACATTGAGTTAGCCCTCAAACAAGAGGAGATCAAAAGGAGAAGCACACAATACTATAAAAAAATATGTCAGAAGACAATATTCATCGAAGAGGATCTCGTATTGAAAAAAGTTGACGTGGTCATACTTGGTTGAGCTATTGAAAAGCTCAATCAAATGTAGGTCGGGACAATCAACATCAACAAGAGAGTCACCCCAATATTATACAATTTTTAAACCTACATTAGAAAAGTGTTGCCTCACATATGGAGTAGTGATGACCTGAAAATTTTTTTATCCATAGAAGCTGTGTATTCTCATTTTAAATTTTCTAAAAATTAATAGAGTATAATTTTTGTTATGATATCTCATTACTTGTCATCGACTTGATTATGTTCACCTCACTAGGATAAACAAGAAAGCCTTAAAGGTCATCAAGTTAAGAAAAAAAAAACTTAAAAACATATTTCTTGACACTCAAACAATCAAAATCCAATCTCCTTGCAGCTAAAACTTATTCTTATTTAGCACAACTGACTAGGTAATGAGAGACAAGTCCGAGCAATGAAAAATATGCAAAATATGCCATTTTTGCTCGTATCCAACAAGTAAATACCATTGAAACTCAAGGAACTCACTTGATAGGAATCGATCAGCTTGACTGCTATAAGGCTTCTAAATATGAAACTCAAGGAAATCATTCAATAAGAGCTAGTTGTCACACAATCATAACAATGATAAGAAAAATTCAAAAAACATAATAAAAAAGCTATGATATGTATGAAAACTCTAATTTATTAAAATGATGCACACGTACACAGGGCTATCCAACTATTTTTTACATAACAACCCATGTTCGATGCAAACAATCACTTATTCATTCGCTCACTCGCTCATTCATCCTTTGTGATGGAAGAGCACATCCCCTGGTGCTTGAATCAATTTGGTGAATCACACCATAGATTTGACATACCTGGGTCGATGTCTGGGATCCAACAAAAACATAAAAGCCTTTTCTTGCCGAAGTCGACAATTGACAAGTCGGATAAAGGAGACCCGATTAACTCCAATCAGCGCTTGGGCCCAAGTTTTGTACAACAAGAATAGAGAGAAGCAGATTCTCTATAGATTATAGATTTAAAAAAGCAGACAAACTTTCTACCTTATATTCAAGAATTTATTATCCTTGAGAGTCAGCATGCAAGAAATTTGACCATAGGAAATCTAATGAAGAAGAAGTTCAAAGGTTGAACGATAGTAGGTTTTGACCATCCAACTCGTTTTCACCACCATTTTCAGTTTTCTCTTTTAATGGGCTATTCTTAGGTACATCTTAGTTTCATGGTGCAGGTTTATAATGGGAACCATCATAATTTATAGAAAGCCTTAAAGAGAAGGCAAGATCAATACATAATGGAGGCTTTTCATAGCCTAATGATATGTTTACACAAGATTCGTAAGCACTAATCCTACATCTACTATGCTCCCCCAAGTAATGTGGATATATACTTTTACCATCATGGGACGCACATGTCTCAAGCTTGAGTAATTCGACACATGACTTATAAACATGATCGATCGACATAATATTGAATAACAAAAAGAGGGACTAACTAATTATGTTGTCTGGCACACAAATCATACTGTCTGGGACAATCATTTACCATCCATTTAGCTTGTAATTCCCACACATCAAGAAACCATTATTCTTTTTACCCATGAAAAGTCAAGCCCTAGTAGCTAGCATTTAGTAGCATATGAATCATCTCAGAGGTGAGTCAAAATGATTACCTCCATGAAAACAGTGAAATGTTTGCTTTATACATCTGGTGAAAGGGACAACTAGTCTAAGGCAACAACTTAATTGAAATTTTGTGGGTGGCATGGTTGGAGCAACACTTGGGTTAGGTATCATATTCTAAGAGCAACTAGGACACTTACTCACAAAATTGGGGTTATTAAGCCTAAATCAGATGAGACTACTCTCAAGCAACCAAATAATCTATCATTTATATTATTCACTCAGTATATGACTTGGATAAGATATATTCGATGCCTTCTCCACAAACTTTTTCCTAAACA